TCTTAAGAAAATTTTAATAGAATTTGTATATGGAAGCCTTTCTTACCATATGATTTTTATGAAAATTAGTATTGAATTTATATGTGGAAGTTTTTCTATGATATATGATTTTTATGAAAATTTGTATTGCATTCATATGTAGAAGTTTTTCTATGATATATGATTTTTATGAAAATTTGTATTGCATTCATATGTGGAAGTCTTTCTATGATACATGATTTTTATCGAAAATATCTACAGTCTTTATACAATGAAAGTCCTTCTTATGACATAACCTATATAAAAATTTAAAAAATAATTTCCTAAAAAACAATTATTAGAAAAATAAACTCGTCCTCAAAAACCTAAAAACCTTCACTCTCACACAAGAACCCCTCAAACTAAAAATACACGGTACACCTAAACCTCCCTCCAAAAACAGTTCTCAAAACCTCCAGCAACAAACATCCCAGAGAAACAATTTTCCCTCACAAAAACCGCCATCAGATTCCAAGCCAGTCGCAAAAGAAAGCAGTTCCACAGAGATTGCGACTCGACATTCACAAATATTTGCTTTTTCTGTCTCTTCATCAAGAACAAAGACCGTTTCCATTTTTTGCTCCTTAGAGCCCGCCTCGGTAGTTAGGGGTTAAAGAACTATGTATATAGTCCCGTAGAGACCTCTCGTAACATCTTACGATCCGCAGTGACGATCTCGCGTGATCTTTACGAAACGATCATCGAGCAATGAGACTAAACAATAGACAAAAGCAACAGTGTTTTTTTTTTTACCAAGGCAGCTGCCGGGCGCAAAACCAGAGGGGGACATTACTTAATAAACGTGCGCATCCGGGGTGCGGTCCGGCAGGCATTGTTTCAGGATCGGTAAATGGGTGCTTGCCAGCGGATGCGTGCGTCCAAAGGGTTAAGGATTAAGCTTGTAGAATCCTGGTTCGGACCCACAATGGACACCTGGACGGGTCCGCGGGAGCCCATGGCAAAAAAAACTCCTTTTTCCAGTCGCCTCTGGACATCTGCCATCGATCGCCATTACGACTGTGCGCGGCAAAGCTGCCATTATGGACCACTGTCCATCGACATGTGAGAACAGACGTAATATGTGCGGTCGGAGCGTTCCTTTGGGAAAAGATGCTGATGAGGGAGGATCTGTGATGGATAGTGTTATTCTAGTTTTCAAGTTTTAACCAATGTTCAAATACACAATATACTTATCAAAAATATTACAATTTTGGTAACATTCGACCAAACAAGCATAACTGTTTCCCAGAACTCAAACGTGACAGCACTGCAAAAGCAAGTATAATCGAAGAAGTGTTCCTAAAAGTGTCTTTCAATTTATTCTTCATTTGTGAGAACCGTTCGTGAGATTTTCGCGACACCGGAGTGTCTAAAGAGCGTCCTCGAAGCAGACCCCCGATACAGAGTTATGATAATTATTTCGCGCAACCCTCGAGAACGTGATGCACCGGAGAGAATCACTCGAGGACTGGTATTTTTCCTTTTTCTTCTTCAGTTGAACCACTCCCGGGCCACTCGTGTCTCGGCGAAAACAATAAGTTGCATAATAAGCAGGACGGATAAAGAGGAACCTGTTTCTCCGCTGGCACGGATCAAGAGGGAGCGAAATAAGACGGGCGAAGACTCTCGCGTGAGAGTTATGATGATCTTTTTTTCGCCAAGGCGATACAGGTATATTGAAATCTCTAGGACAAAACGACGCACTAATAACGTATGCACGGTGCAGCTGGCGGCGTCGTTTTGTTCTTGCTGGCGCTACAGGTTCTTGAATTTCACACACGTCATGGGGTTGCTTCTACTTTCTCTGTCGTTCGTTACCTCTTTCACCTAACTCTCTCCCGTCCTTCGCCTCGACAGAAGAACCCCCTATTGTTTTACCTAGCGAGACCAGTTTTTGTTTCACTCTGTCTCTCTCCACGGCTTATTATATGCGCTTTCTGCCGTTCGCGTACGCGATTGTTCGCACGGACGGGCGAACCTGATTCGTTCGCGTCGAAGGAGAGAAACCGTGAGGGTCGAATGCGAATCCGGTCAAACGGCGAACAGAGAAAAAAGCGATACAATAAAAGGGGTTAAAGTTGATACAATTGAGCGAGAAACGGCGACGTTGCACGCGTGATTTATTTTTACAGCCCTCCGCCGATACTCGCGGCACCCGGGGCAAAGACCCATTGTCTTTCTCGCAGCCGGGTTACAAACTAGTGCCTTCGCGATCACTTAAAAACTCCGCTAAACTTTTTCTATGGACGTTCGTTACTGCTAACTGCTACAGGAAAGCGTTCTTTCATGAAACATGTTCTTCATGTAACAGCGATCTTACTAAGCACGCTCACACAACGTAAATATAGATTTCTTTATACCGTTTTGCGGAATCGGTTCAAACACTCTTGTCACAGCTGCTTGGACTTGTGTAAGTGTCATAAAACGTCCCTTTTATAGCTAATTTCAGTTTTGGAAAAAGGAAGTCACATGGAGATAAGTCAGGCGAATCTGGAGGATGTTGGAGCCCACAGACTTGTTTTCTCGCCAAAAATTCACGAATAGCGACAGTTCTGTGACATGGTGCGTTATCATGCAACAGAAACCAACTTCCCGGCACTCGATATTCGGGCCTCACACGAACGATCCTCTTCCACAAATGTTCCATAACACCCAGATAATATTCGCCACTAACATTTTGTCCCTGTGGAACGAATTCCCGAAGTATAATTCCTTTAGAATCGTAAAAGCAAATTAACATTGTCTTCTTGAGGGACTTTTGGAATCGCAATTTTTTTGATTTTGGAGAGCCTGGAGATTTCCACGTAGCACTTTGGCGCTTTGTTCGAGGTTCATACTTGAAGCACCATGTCTCATCACTAGTTGCAATTGATTCCAGGAATGTACAGTTTCGTCCGGCTGTTTTGATAAGATCCTCGCAATATTCAACGCGAGCAATTTGTTGCGCTTGCCCGTGATTTTGTGACATGGTGACGGAAGGTTCTGTCGCATTAAACGCTATAAGTTTACAATTCGTTGCTCGATTCCAATNNNATTCGTTGCTCGATTCCAATAATATTACAATTCGTTGCTCGATTCCAATAATAATTGTTGTGTTTTGTAGGGGAGGTATACTGTTTTCAGATAACATATTGTTTTAATAGATGTTGCTAGTTTTCCTTAAATTTGAAAAAAGTTCTTTTCCGATATACTGTGTATGTTATGTAGAAAAGATTATGCGTGTTAGTCTTAGAACCGGTATTATGTACAATCTATATTTACCCAATTACCATTTTCTGTAAACATGCTAAATTATTTTTCAATTGCACATGAGGACGGAAATGTCATATTGAAATATGACTATTACAGAAATGAAGTTAGGTTATGTACCTCATCTTTTTATTAGGGTCTTGGAAACAAAATTTGTGTCTATTTTTCATTAGCTATGTATAATTCAATTTTAATTTTTAAATTGCATATATAATTCTTTTTCTATAAGTGTAATAAAAAAATGGTACATTTTCTGTTTTCATGTATACGTATTTTAAAATAGTTTGGTAATTGTAAAGAACACACCATTGATTTCAATAACCTTAAGATATGTTGTGATGGGCAACATTCTAATTTTTTTTTATTATAAATATTTACTACTATGTCACAGTTTCAATATTTATGAAAATTCTGGATTATTCAAAAATTGTATTTTAGTATGTTCGTTTCATGTGTAAAATAAGCAATTTCTATCAAGCTTTGGTCAAATAAAATCCTGTGTAGTTTCAATTGTTATATTGAACATACAAGGATTGTATACCAGATCAATGCTCTTTCATGAAACTATAAAAACTTCAAAATTAAATTTAATAACAGCAAATGATTATAATATAACTCGATATAACTCACCGTCTAAGACAAAAATTTTGCACATAACTAAAATAATTTTATTATAATAAATTTTTCACTGAATAAATTTCTCTGAAAATGTTACTTCTATAAAAATAGAATTACCAGCAAAAATGTATTATTAATTTATAACATACCAAATGTAACATACTACAAAACATACTAAAAAATGCAATTCGCGTTACGAAAACCGCCGGACCAAAGAAATTGAAATAAATTTCATATTCATGTCCAATATTCATGTAAATAAGGAACGTTGAAAATTTATCCTTTTTTTGCGAGATAATGATACCGTCTGAATTTAAAGAAATAATTGCATGTACCATACACGAGTGTCGCAACTCGAAATTTAGTGGCACGGTACAGGACGTAACCATTAATCATCAGACCACGTACTGACGCAACATCCCCTATACACCATTCCGACACGAGATGGCATGTGACGCCATAAATTGCTAAATTAAAAGGCTGAAAGGATATACAAAATGGTACCGATGTATTGTTTTTTATGGCCGCGGAATGGTTCATTCGTATTGTTTTTATACGGATTCATTTGCATCCGAATGATGTTCGGGTAATTAGCATATAAATAGGACAAGGTGTTACAATCGTATTGCATAAAATGAGCAACAATTTATGTCGTTCGATTGTTAGTTTATTTACTGTTATATTATTCGGGATTGAAAATTTTATACATGAATTGTTTATTTGGAGGCAAATTTTGGTTACAAATATTTATAATTATGGAGGGTAAGATATTCTATGTTTTCAAAATTGTACATTCTCCACTTCTCTAATTTATCAAGTTCTCAAATTCTAACTCTTCTTGTTCTCTAAATCTCTAAGTTTGTAAATTAGTAAGGCGTACTCATAGGCACGACATAGGAGTGCAAAGGGTTAACCATTGTATTTTATTAACTAACATCTTTTCGTTAATACTAGTTTTTTAACGTTATGGTCACTTACATTCAATTTTGAACTAAAGTAGAAAAATAAATAAATTGGGGATGATATAACCTAAGACATTCTTTAGCTTGAAAAAAAATTTCCTACTAAGTTTAAGAGGTCTATGATCCGCCATTTTGATGACTTCTACTGTTGTCTGTTTCTACGTAAACATCAATTACGTTTAGCGATGAGAATGAAGATCAAGATTTTGAAGATTGGCAAGATGTAGGGTTGAACATTGCAAAACCTGCAGAATTATTGCAAATTTATAGAGAATATATGAGAGCCAACGGGTATGATAAATCTCCTTCTGTGAGTGTTGGTGTACAAACGGATTTTTGCGAATTAGAACCTGAAACAGAAAAAGATGAATTTAAAGAAATGGTTAGTTAATGTCACATGTATTTGATACTTTATATTTTACTTTTGTCTATAATGTATTAAATATCTATAGGTAAAAAAAGTAGAAGAACTTAAACAACACACTGTATTGCTAGAACAAGAAAAATTAGACTTACAACAAATTATTGCCACCACAAGTGGAAGTTTATCTCAAAATCCAACTAAGGTATAACATACGAACAATACGCATAAATGTTTATTAGTTATATTTTTATAATATAATGGTTTTTTGTAGCAAGATAGTAGTGGAACGATACAAACGATAAATTCAAGTTCTACAACCCCAGATAAATTTGAACTCCTTGAAACACCAGCTCGTGATACGTCTACTGTAACCCATGAACCGGAAGAAGATGACAGCGTTTCTGTCGTTGTTAGTCTTGGCGAAACAGATCCTGGTGACAAAGAATGGACAAGAATTCAGTTACCCAGGGTAGATGTGACTGAAGGATCATCGATACTTCCAAATCCTCCATCACGGTATATTTCTATAAATAAAAGTACATGTATATTTTGTCGATATTTGATATTTTACGTCAGTATTTCATTTTCAGAAATTTACCATTAAAGTTTAAGATGGAGGTGATAACACACTGCTTAGTAAATATCCCAAGTTCTGTACTTTATACGACTGAAGAACTTTTCAAAAATGGAGTTACGCGTGACACTCTTGTTCAAATTCTATCACAAACATTACCTCGTATCGTACCCAATATTATTTTGAATAAGCGTGAGGAAGTGATACCATTAATATTAAGCGCAATTCTTCACAATGATTCTGCGGAGAGGGAGAAATTGCTGCAACTTTTATTCAGCCTAAAGAAGGGGTCGCAGGAGAATGAAAGACAATTAATATTAGCTGGTACAAAACATTATACATAATTCTATATAGATTTAGTAAGAAAACTGAAATATAAGAAAGAAAAATTCGATGTAGTGCGTATAATCGAAGTCTGGGCCAGTAATCTAGCAGCCTGCGGTTCGTCACGTCCAACAAATCGGTTCGCGGGCATAAATTGAAATGCTAAAAGCGAAATTGGGTAGGAATTAGGAAAAACGCCGCGAAATGGGACGATGATTACACTGCGGAAAGTTGGATGGCGAACGTCGAAGGGGGTGGAAGGGTCGAAAGGGCGGTCGACGGAGGTGGGCCCACTGACGAAGTCTGAATTCTCAACCCCTCGAGCTGGCCATCCGAGTCTATGGTGGAACCGCGACTAGAACGAGGGTGGAGAGGGTCGAAATGGTGGGGTAGTCGCGTCTTACCAAAGGGGAGAAACGCGGCGAGGAAAGGGAATGGTTACGGGGTTGCGATGGTGGAGGGTGTTCCGAGTGCCGCGTAAATAACTTCCATCTTCGAGGGTGCAACCACCCTCCTGGGGGGATGGACTTCGAACGAGAGGAGAAAGAGAGAAAGTGAAAAAGCGGAAAAAGAAGGTACAACGTGGGTGAAGGGGGTCCGTAACAGGGTGGTGATTCCGTTGGAAGAGGGAGACGTAAAATATTCTTAATGAGCAAAGACTTTCAAGTATTGACTCAAAATGGCGGCCGTTCTTTCAAGTCGGCTTGTTAAGCATTATTCCAAGCCCTGCCACCCCTTACCGACGTTCCCCTTCGCTTTGTACGAATTCTTTTCCTCCCTCTTCCACGGCTTACTTAGTGTGCCGGTATCCTACGCAAGGACACTAATCCAACCCCTTCCATGATGCTCCTTTTGACCGACGTACTAAGAAATGACCAAAAGCCGATCTTTTTCGGATTATTATTGGGTCGAACCAGACAAAGCAACCCTTTCTTACTTCTTTTCGTATCAAAGGACTTATCAACTTTTCATCGAAGCTTTCATGAAATATTCGAAGTCTCATACATTCTTTATAGATTCTTTATTTATGTGTGATGTGATTTATAATTATACGAGGTGAAAATATTTATAATTATATCGAGGTGGTTTGAAACAAATTTTCACCCCCTAAAATTTCAGTATATGTTCTTAAAAAATCTTCTTAAAGTTTAGTTTAGAAATTATAATTTAGGTTTGATGACATAGTATCGTAAAATATCACATATGTTACATTAGGTTGAAGCTTGAGGTTCAAGGGAAATTTTCAAGGGTAATCAGTAATATATTAAATACGAGACTTGTCACTTATAGCAAACAATGATAAGGTCTAGAACATGAAACAATTTGATGACAAAATATACCAATAACCTAGTGTTAACGTTCCGGCCATTTTGATGCAACTGAATCGGCCATTTTGGGTGCGACAACCTTATACATGCATGTGTATACATACACATATGAGCATGTGTGTACACACATCCCTCACTCAACAAACCTAACCAAAGATTTCAAACGCTACGATAAAAAAATATAAATTATCATGTAAATACACGTAATATTTGAAGAATCTAAAGAATTAGCAAACACTCGATATCTAATCCAACCAAAGTGAAAAGTAAGTCGAGCGAAAGTCGAAAATTCTTTAAGACGCTTTTCCCCAAGGACGAGGGCTATCGAGGCTTTCACAAAAAACGCTTTCGTACGAATAAGCCGAGGAGTGGATTATTTAAGGGTGAGGTCCCGGGAACCTTGGATGTGCTGCTCGAGACTTGTTAGAAGTTGGCTTTCGCTTTGAACCTTCGTGCACCGCCTCACACACTTCGCAGGGGGTACCGGAATAAGGGTTAAAAATGTATAAGATAAGACAGAGACCTTTCGTGGATGAAGAAAGAGAAAAAGAGGGCCAATAGCTCCGGGGCAAAGGAGACAGTAAAATGGAGAAGAACGCGAAACCGAGACAGACAGAACTTTCATTATTGATCAAAGAAACTGAGTGTCGCTTCCCTCCTCAAAAGCTTGTTCTATTCAACTTGCCTTCGGCTTTCCATTAAAAATACCACCGGCATCATCCGCTTTTTGCGATGTCGGCACGATCTTGTCTTTCGATATCGTCCTGTGTTTTCTTCCTTACATGCTCATTTGAGGGGTTTATTTTTAAAGTGGGACATTTTTGGAAAAATTTTGCAGTAAAACGATATTTTTGTCTGTTAATCTACAGTGACATGATTGAAGTTCCTTAATATTATAGGGAATTAGTAATACAACTACTGTGAAAAATAATAAATTGTATAGTACTGATACATCTCGATATAAGTGACTATGTGTTGCAAGTCTATGTGTGCTTCTACTACATAAAATAAGCATAATTGAAGTTCCTTAATATTATAGGGAATTAGTAATACAACTACTGTGAAAAATTACAAATTGTATAGTACTGGTACACCTCGATATAAGTGACTATGTGTTGCAAGTTTATGTATCACTGCTTCTACTACATAAAATAAGTATAATTGAAATTCCTTAATATTACAGGGAATTAGTAATACAATTATTGCGAAAAATAATAAATTGTATAGTATTGGTACACCTCAATATAAGTGACTATGTGTTGCAAGTCTGTGTATCATAGCTTCTACTACATAAAATAAGCATAATTGAAATTCCTTAATATTATAGGGAATTAGTAATACAACTACTGTGAAAAATAATAAATTGTAAGTATTGGTACACCTCGATATAAGTGACTATGTGCTGCAAGTCTAAATATTGCTTCTTTTATTAACTTGCAAGTTGCAGTTCAGTTTTTAATAAAAAGACACGGTTCTTTAATATGCATACACAAAACACATTAACAATTTCAATGTAATATAAAAATTAATTAGTTAATGTCTATTTTATTTAAAAAAATATTTCGACGAAAATTACTGTGACGCGTTTAAAAGCTGGTAATAAGAAAAAAATACTTTTCTGGTTAATAACGCGACTCGAATAAAATCCTCATTTCCAAGAAATTTCATTATTTTTATTATGTTTATAGAAATAAGACCCTTGACGATAATAAAAGGTAATAAAATAAGAAAAATAGTAAATGCACGTCTGAAATATTATATGTTTAATTAACTAGTTTGCTAATTTTGAAAGAAGAATTATAATTTTATTTTATTATTTTATGAAAGAAAAATTTGTTTTATTATTAAAGTAGTATTGTTTGATTAACTCAGATAATTGTATTAAATTTATAATTTATTAAGAAGCAAGTAAAAATCATTAATGGAGGTGATTTGACTGAGTATATAAACTGCTTAATAATATTGATGATCCCTTAAAAAAAAAATAAACAAATTTTTTTTATTTAATACCTTTGGTCACTGATATTTATTTGGTAAAAATATATATTATAATACACTAGTGGAACGCCCCGCGCTATGCAAGGGGGATTCATCAGTTACCCTTGACCCCCTGCGCAGTCCTAAACCGTAAAAGATAGACATGCGCAGTAAATTTTTTACAAAGAGGCTTAATCCATAAAAGTCAAATTAACCACTCTTAATGATGACGTAATTAGTTTTTAAATTGTAACAATTTTGATTTTTCGGAAACATGTGGCGCCATCTGTCCGGCGAACAGGGTGAACTACACTAGGCGGGAACACGGCTTTCGTTAGTTCGCGTAGTCTACCGCTAGATGGCGCTACATATACCATTTATGTGGCGGCACCTACTTCCGCTCAACCGTTCCGCCGAAGGGTACATTTTTCCCCCATTTTTCCTGGAAGGGGTTTTCCCTCGGAAAGAGAAAGTCACTTCCCTGAAAAGCGTGCTTGTGGATAGACGCGTCGAATCACACGGTTTATATTTTAATCGCGAACTATTTGTGTAATTATTCATGTGTATAGCGAATTATAAAGAATACTATATTATTCACGTTATAAACAATTCAAACATTTTAAATAAACTTTTTGAACTTTTCCATTTTAAATCGAGTGAACATTACATTCAATTACCTACACTCGATAAAGTGGGAGTCCTACGTTGTTCAAGGCCCCCACATTTACATAGGAACTGTCTTCCTATATTTTAATAATCAATAAATTAACAACTTTGCAAAATAACTGATTTTATTGGACTTGATTCTGAAATTGATTTTAACACATGTTCTTGAATTAAGGTTTGATTACAGTATGAATAGCGAACGATTTTGTTTTCAAAATAAAATTGAATGTGATCAAACGACGATAGCTTTAAACATTAATCATTTGTTCACAAGTACAAATAGAATTCTTCTTGATCGACGACTTTAATAACAGAACTCATCTTCACCGATGACTCTGATGATTACCAAAGAGTATAGGAATTACTGAAAAAGATACGCATATAAATACATCAAGAAAAAAGGAAATAATCTTTTAAAAAAACCGCCGTAAATGCAGTTAACAGCGCCATCTAACAACAAACTACTGAACTATGGTGAATACGTGCAAAATACCGACCGGATTCTGTCGGTAATTAGTTGATTACACTTCAACGGTAATATATCATCAGTGAAGTTTCTATTGTAGTTCCGCGTGTCAGTGCTAGATGGCGCTGCGTGAACCTGCATTGTGGTGATCATCAGAGTCATCGTCGATCAAGAGGAATTTCATTTTCAAGCCGTCGATAAAGAAGATTTTTATTTGTATTTGACATTCAATTTTATTTATGTTCAATTGTATTTTTAAAAAGAAAAACGTTCGCTATTCATTCTATAATCAAATCAAAATTCAGAAACACATATTTCAAAATCAATTTCAATAAACCAGTTATTTTTTGAAAGTTATTATTAATTGACTAATTTTAAATATAGAGAAACACTCTCTATATTTTTGGTGACCCCGACGTGATATTTAAAGTTGCCATAAGAAATTATAATTAAAGTTATTATTAATTGACTAATTTTAAATATAAAGAAACACTCTCTATAGCATAAGGAAGCGTTTAGATTAGGCAAGTACCTGTCAAAATAGCCTAATGCGAACGACATTTAATTGAAGTTCTGCGTATCACTGGTAGATGGCGCTGCGTCGAACCTGCATAAGGGGGCGTTCAGATTAGGTAAGAACCTGTCAAAATAGCCTGATGTGAACGACATTTAATACAGAGCAAGAAAGCAATCGTCCGATTTATACATTCATCACATTTTCTTCCATAACTTACAGTTTTCTTCAATTTTTTAGAAGCAAATTAATTGCTACATTATCTTTATTCCCTCAACAGATTTTTATTAGCTTTCTACAAGATCCTGTATTACAGCGAATACTAATATTTACATATTATTATGATAATTCCGTTCAAGAATTAAGTGTTAATAACGTATCTATCTATAAATAAAATATATTAAGTCATTTGCTGTACAAAAGTGTTTGAAAATAAATATGAATAAAAACATGTATTTGCATTTTTACTTACTTGTCAGTCCCATCATTCCGATCCCGAGAAATTGCTCCAAATTTTAAAAAATAAGAAATAAAAAGCAACATATTAAGAATTTGTACCAGGAGAACATGCAATATTAGGAGGTTTTCTTTGTGCTTCATGGAATTTTCATAACGTCGTTTCAAGAATTCTCGCGGCGCGATTTTTGAAATTCCACCGACCGATTTTGAAAATTTTGTATTAGGAGAACATAAGTTGTGAGGAGGTATCCTTCGTGCCACTTCCTGGAATTTTCATGACGTCAAATTCCAAGAATTCCCGGGCGCGATTTTCCGGGCGCAATTTTTGAAATTTCACCGACCGATTTTGGAAATTTGTATCAGAAGAACATAAGTTCTGAGGAGGTATCTTTCGTGCCACTTCCTGGAATTCCGATGACGTCAAATTCCAAGAATTCCCGGGCGCAATTTTTGAAATTTCACCGACCGATTTTGGAAATTTGTATCAGAAGAACATAAGTTCTGAGGAGGTATCTTTCGTGCCACTTCCTGGAATTTTTGTGACGTCAAATTCCAGGAATTCTCATGTTCTCTTGATACAAATTCTCTCTTTCCAATATGTAAATTTTTATTCTGTTGGGTTTATTAGGTAACAATAAATACACAATGATTTTTGACAAATTTTTGTTTATTTTCACCACTTTCCATACAGTGCATAACTTAATTAAACTTATTGTTTAAACCGTAAGAGATAGATATGGGCAGTAAATTTTTACAGAGTAGTCAAGGAAAAAGCAGCTGCAGCATTCTCAATGATGACGTAATTAGTTTTCACGTATCCCTTAAAAAGTGTTCCTTAATTGAGCGAAGCTCTTATACTTGACTTTGCAAGTTCTTTATCCGTGTTTTTCTTTTGCACCACTCAACCAACTCTCATCAAATTTTACACGCGCATGCGTATGTACATCCAGATAGACATAGAAAAAAAAATTTTAAATCGGACTTGCCACGGAGGAATAATGACCAAAAAAACTGATCCTCATAAACTTCAGCATTGCAGTACGTACATGAGCCGCCTATGTCAATTCTACTGTACATGCAAAGTGCAATATTTCGGCACTTTGACGACGGAGTATGGTTCCTGAGGCATTTAGAAACAAATTTCTATTAGGGTTTGATGCGTTTTGATGCTTAATAAAGCCAGAAAATCAATTTTTTGATGCGTTTTGATGCT